ATAAGAAACTGCAGTTGCACAGAAATCACGGGCAGTGCTATTAAATGGATGTAACTTACTGGTTCCTATATTTGATTTGAAAGACAGACCATCAAGGAGAAAAAAGCCTTTAATTTTCTCTCGATATCCAGATAACACATTAACAAGTACAGAAACAGGATTTGGTCTGAAGACATAAAAGTAACAGATCAGATTCACACAAATCACCTCATCTCCTTTTAGTACTGCAATAAAAACTGACAAGATAAATAACCTTGTTTTCCCATAGTTTATAAATTTCCTTCCCATCAAGGCATTTTTTTCTCTCCCAACAGATTTCACAGCAACATTTCTGCATCACATGCATGAGAACAGCTGCTCCTTCTGACCAAGATTCAGATCTTCAGTCTCACAAGCCACATCAAAGTTAACTCAGACACCGGCAGTCTCTTCTGCAAATTAGACACAGTTAAGCTGCGTTTTCGAAACTGCAGAGCACCCTGCATGTAAGCGCGAAACTTCAGAAGCCAATCTGTTGTAGATAAGGAATACCCACTACCTGCAAGGTGACTGAATTGCGCGATCACTTTGAATTCAAGCTCCTGTCTGACATAATTTAATAATCTTCAGCACTTACAAATTCAGCAAGATGGCTAGGGAAGATTAGTTACTAAAAATACTCAGAATTAAGTTTTGGAGTTGGTTTTAACGCGTAGGTCACATCTGCACTCAGCAGTAAGGGAATTATCCCCTTGGTTAAAAAAACCGGCAGACTGAAATAGCTGAATTTATAGACAAAATAAGTATTGATCTTACTTTTAATTGCTTTCACATCTGTGTTTTTTTCTTGTTCTTTGCCTTTCACTGTAAAATACAAAGGAAAATGTTAATGTTAATTAACGGATGTAAAATTCCCAAGTTCAGCAAGTATCACAGGCAGATGTAAACTATTTTGTTAAAACTGATCTCTTACTTAAATCTACACATCTAGTAACTGACAGAGGCTTTCAAACCTCTTGTGGTGGTTTATTTTCAACAGCAAAACCTTGTCATCCCTGAATTGAGTTTAACGAAATGCAGCGTGTTAATTTTAACATAAAGATACTTGCTGTCTATACGATTAAAGCAAGGCTACGTTCGAGGTTACTTTAATAAATAGCATTAACTGCAAAGAATGGGACAGATGTTTCTGTGAACTAGAAATCTAAAACGTCTCCCTCATGCTATGGGAAGAGCGACGCAGCACACCCAGTTGAGGAGATGTACGTGGAACCAGCTCCGCTAAGCCAGAGCCAGCCCACGACTCCTCAGTCAGGATGGATGCCACAGAAACGTTCTGGAAACACACTGCAAATAGTCAACGATTTCAAAAAATAATATTGTTTAACTAGGCTCAATCCTACGGCAAGCAACTGATGGGAAGATAAGAGTTCAAAAACGTGATGGGAAAGCAAATTTTTTTTTTTAATTATTTTTTTCAAGGAAGCAAAGGTGGAGATCCATTGGAAACAAAAATAAAGGAAGTGAAGGAGTACATAAAGAGGATGGCATGGGAAACAAATCAAGTGGCGATATTGAAGAACGTGATCCACCAGGGAAACCTCCTCCCGCTGCTCCAGGCCAGGGTTATCACTACAAACAGGCCATCTCTGAACACCGGCGGTGGAGTCCTCCCAAAGGCAACCACAAACCGTAACCCAGCACAACCGAACACTTACAACCTAAAACACAAGCGGCTTACAAAAAAAAGACAAAATCAACGCACTCAACCTTTCCTACTCAGGCCTAGTACTTTAAATATTTTAAAGGGAACCTTCAGTCTCTGGTTACATAATTGTCCTGCCTGGTTGGCTGCAGCAGTGCCGAGCTGCCAGCCTCCGCTGCGAGAAGCACGAACGCTGCAGGTCTGCAAACCGGCAACTCAGCATTTAACACTGCAGCCAGCACGCTCCCGCGCTGACAGAGAGGTTTAAGCCTCGGTTAAAAGAGGGGGATTCTTTTCAGAGTGAACTCTTGCAGCCAGATGCAGCTGTAAACAGTGAGAATAACCAGCTTTACATAACTGGGGGCGCGCTGACATGCAGGAAAAAAATCACTGAGGAGAATCCACACAAGTAACGCTGAGGTACAACGGGGATGAAGCAGCCTCTCTACAGGATTACCAACACTATATCTTTACAGAATTAATCTCACAGTTGATTCATCAAACCAGTCCCTAACTATCAGCAACAACTCCTGAGTTTCAACAGACGAGTCCTCCAGGAGAGCCTGTCTGCAGTTGAAACACATCTGTTCCTTCGTACCAACTGCTCCGTTCCTCCCGAATCACCTACTTATCACTGGGAACACAAACTCACAGCTCACATTCCCGACCTCTCTATAGGCAGGCTTCTTTTGTCCTCATCAGCTTCAAGCAGACAAAATTCAGAAGTAACAGCAGAGCACAAAAGAAAACTCCTGTACGCGACAAGACCAAGTGTTAGAGACTGAGGTTTCACTGGAGGAATTTACTTTCACAAAAAAACCCAATGTCACTTGGTGTCTGTGTGAAGCCACAGAGGGAAGTGCAGCACACGGCGACTAAGAGCTGCTGAGAATTTCCAGCAGCAAACCCCATTCACAAGGGGGTCACACATCAAACCCACGTGAGCCGGCCACGTGACACTTCAGAATTGTAACTCACATCTTGAAATACAGAAGAATGAACAAGCCTAAAGTGTTCACACATGTCTACGTGCAAGAAGCAGTATAAAACTCCAGAGGTCAGCCAACGAGTAGGACTGTGCACGTTAGTTCCAAGATATCTCTCGTGAACGAGCAGGTAGTTGGGCTGGTTCATTAACGACAATTTCATAACCTGCCCTCCAGCGCCGGGCTCAACTGTTACAGTTTAATCTCTCAACCTATTATCCAACCCATGTCTTCTAGGCCTTTATTTTAAGGCCCATGCTTAAAAAAAACATTTCACCATTGGTTTCGAGTTTTCTGCATGTTAGTAGTTTTATGACCCTAGCTATGATTTAATTTTAAAGAAAAGTTTTTTTATTTTTACCCAACAACACTCCAAGCCAAGAACACTGATGCTTTTAGATGGTTTTGGACTGCATGTCCAGCCTACAGAGTTTTATCGTAAGCCTTAATTTGTTGCTCTTGTCCCAGCTGCAGTTTAACATCTCCTCTAAAAGCCAGTAGCTAAAATGGAGACAAAACAATATTATTTTAGGTACAGCCTACATGAAAGCTTACTTCTCTCCTTAACAGCACCTCTCTTGGGAATTTAGTCCCGACTGTGCTTCTCTGATCGAGGATCCTTTAATTCAAGTAACGCAAACAGATATTCCAGTAGATATTCCTTTACTTTCTCTCCGAGAGAGTTTTTGCCCAAGCTGACACTGTTCCTATGATTATGCACCCGGGTGGAACAGCAGCTCCACAGTCAAAGCAGCAGAAGCTGTTTTTTGAACAGGTTATAAGCCATAGCAAAGTTTTCTTCTGCAGCTCAACATCAGTACGTAAGCACCTCAACAAGGATTATGGCACCTGCAAAACCTTCAGTGCACCTCAAGAATCTTCAGAGCTACTAACACAAACAAGTTTAAACTCATTTCTTCGAGGACTACTGCACTAACCTCCACAAAAAATAAATTTTCAATGCTACTACTTTGGCTGAGCAAGCTTACGGCAGGCTGTGTCAGCCAAGAGGAAAAACATCATCTCAGATAATGTGTTATTTCCTCCACAATTACAGTCTTGCTTCCCAAGGTGTGTATTTTGGGCTTCAGTAACCGAGAAACGCTCTGGGAGAGGGTTGTAGCAGCCACTGCCAGAAGAGCGATGACCATATCGCCCAGACTAGACCACTACAGGAGAACAGAACTACTTTCCCAAGAGGCCCTTCCCAAAAGCTGCCACTCGCAACAGACACCAGCCAGAGCACACGCCTGCAGGCTGGAAGGGCACTACACCACCCTCCAGTACGAGCTGCAGCACAAGTGCCTTCAAAGCACTTCAACTACATCCATTTGTGCTACAGAAATAGTATAAATATTGCAGGAGTCCTGCATTTCAAATCTTAGCTTGTGCTCCACAACATCAGCGTCTCACAAAACAAACTGTCGAGGGCTCCTCTGGCTCTCATGAAGCACTCGATGCGATGAGGTCCCCTTTCAGTTCGGGTTTTTAGCTGCTGCTGTAGCACGCTTAGCCTATGACACTTACAGAACCACTGCGAAGAAAGGAATCCTGCGCACAGTTACAGGGGCTCGGAAATCGCGGGAGGTGCCAGACACTTCGCGTCCGTCCCACCTCGCTGCACAGGTCACCCGGCCGGGAGGGGCTGA